GTGTACAGTGGATAGAGGAACTTGGATTCATTGTGTGTGGTACTGTAGGAGTATTATATTGTTTTGGAAAGAGGTAAAAGATGCAATTGAGGAAATTATTTCCAAACAAATAATTATGGATCCGAAGCTGTTTGTGTTTGGACTATGCCCAGAAAAACATAATTATACTAAAAACGAATTAATTTTTATAAACTTAGCTCTGCTTAATGCAAAAAGATGTATATCACTTTTCTGGGGGAAGTCCCATAGACCGACTATAAAACTGTGGTTGCAACAGATGGCATCTACCCTCCCTCTGGAAAAGATTACATATGTATTAAAGGGTAAACAGAATCTGTTTGAATCCATATGGAATCCCTTTATTAGGTATGTCCAACATCTGAACTTCTTGGAGGACGGCGCAAATGACTGAAGATTCTGCTCACTGCAGTTCCCAAAGAAAATTCTGTTAGAGGACATGCACTGCTGAAGTAAATATTTCAGTATACGGATGAGGTGTAGATTATGCGATGGGTTACATTGGAACTAAGAATGTGAGAGACATTTTGTTGTTTTTGTTCTGTGTTGTGTATTTCATTGTGACTTGAACCAAACTACTATTATTACTGGCATTCTTTGTTAAATGTTCAAGCGGTTTGTCTTAACTGTTAAAATTTCAATAAAGATATTTTGGGGGGGAAAAAAGCTGAGCTGTTTGGAACAGACGTGCAGAGGCGGGGGCTGAGGGGCTTGAACCACCGCCCCTTTTGTCCTTGATGCCCCTAGTGCCCTTTTTGAGTTTTTTTTTTTTTTTTTTTTTTTTTTTCAATTTTTCCATTTTTTTTATCTGTATGTCAGAAGGCCTGCTTGTGCCCCTCAGCAACAATATTTAGCTAAATATAATAATTTAGCAAAAATAAACTACTCTGGCTGACCCTCAGTCTAAAAATGACTCTCAGTTTCCTCTGCCTCTATGTTGTTCAGACACTGGGGTGAGTAGAAGGGGAGCAGGTCTGTGCCCTCTAACTACCAAATTATGGGCAAGAATATTTTTTCATACACTGAATAAAAACGTGGGTCTGACGTTGGCCTTAGAAAAACTGTTTCTGTTTATATTTTCATAATTGTCCTCACAATAGCTGGAAAAAACTTGTCTCTCCCCTAAACATAGAAATGCTTCGGCTGCAGAGAAAACTTCCAACTTTAACTTCATCAGGCTGCTAAATGCCCGGTTCTCTACAGGCAGTCTGAGTTGGTCCCACCGACAGATATAAAAAATGTCTGTCTTTATATCAGACATCCTGATATAAGACATGATACTGCGACTGTCACCACAAGTCGCGACACACCTCAAAGTCCCAGTACCACCTGGTACCACCTGCTCTCTGTTTGCTCTGCTTCTCCTTAACGTTACCAGGCGGGTTAAAGCCACTGCTGACGGGATCTGGGCTGCAGGTGAGCGGCTGTAAATAGAAGTTATTGCAGAACCTCAAGTGTTGAGATTCAGCCCATAGCAATTAGAGTTCACAAAATAAACATCAGCGAAAAATACTGTAGCAAAGATTAGAACCACAGCATAAAGTCAAACATGCCACAGTTAAATGAATCAAAACTGACATAGGGGGTACTGGCGGATTCCAGGCAGATTCCGGAGATGCACATCGCAGCAGCTGTTCATGCAAGGCCAGCCCAAGGTAATATGGGGCCTTAGACAGAACATTATTTAATGCATTTTCTCAGCTAAATGCATTAAATAAAATTTAATAACATTGTCATTCTCTATAAATGAATGCTACAGCTTTAGATCTATGGTCTCTGTTTACAATTCAACCATTTCTAGGGGCCCATGAATGGCCCCTATCAGCAGCTACTGAGTTTTCTTTGTCTTAATATCCCAGTCTTACAATTCTAGATCTCAGAGGTGCTAACATAAAAAAATTATAGAGTTAACCCCTTTGAGCTTTTTAGATCTATAAAGCAGTCTGCAGCCAAGTTGTTGTAGAGGTTAAATAGGTTTTATTATGACTTAATTAGTAAAATGGCAGCAACTTTGCTTATTTCATAACTTCATAACCTTTGACCCTTCAACTCTGTCAGCAGCAGAAACAGTAACACTATACCTGTACATTTGCTTTGCATTGTCCCCACATGATGGCAGTGATATAGTAGGATCCAATTAAATTCTTGATCAATATGGGTTGTTGCTATGTTGTTGTACGGTGTTTTAAGATCTTGTTCAATGTGCCCCTTGTTAACTTTGAGCTCCTGCCCCTCCAAAGGTCTCTGCACAGCCCTGGTTAGGAATTAATCTGCTGACCCAACTCCGCTTTTTCTTGTTCAGTGGGAATGAAATTATCCTGCAGATAACATGCACAGACTGATGCCTTCCATCTATATCTGACAAAAACTGAGGAAATTTACTAGTTAGATTTGAGTGAGGTTTTAGCATCCTTTATTTTTATTTTATTTATTTTGTGTGCATGTTGTGTCTGAGGATCAATGTGGTCCAGCTGTGTTTACCATACCATACCAACTTTATTTATAAAGCACTTTAAAACAACCACAGCTGATACAAAGTGCTGTACATCAAAACACAACATAACAATAAAAAAAACATAAAATAAAAACTTACAGTTTAAAAACAAAAACATACAATTTAAAACTAGATCCCGCTAGAGTTGAAAGCCAAGTAAAATAGATGGGTTTTAAGACGAGCTTTAAAAGTTTGTGTGTGACTATCACGCAAACACACATAGAAAACAAAAATTGCACATATACACTATTAAAATATCACACACACACATACATACTGTTTAAAGAATACAGGCATACTAGACTCAATGAGAGATCAGAAAGGTATGTGTGTGTGTGTGTGTGTGTGTGTGTGTGTGTGAGCTAATACTAGACTGAATGAATGACAATACATATATGTGAATGAGATACTCATACTTGTCTGTATTAGAGGCTCATACAGAGTCTGTGTGAGAAGTGTCGTGGAAGACGGGGCATAATTTGGAGATTGCGTTGCACATGCATGCCTCCTGAACTGAGCAACATTGACAATATTTGTAATTTGATAAAGGACAGCATAGGATAAGGTATTTTCTCATCACCTGTGACAGACTGGCGACCTGTTCAGGGTGACCCCGCGTCTTGCCCGGAACGTTAGCTGGAGATAGGCACCAGCAATCCTCCCGGCCCCACTAAGGGACAAGGGCGTATAGAAAATGGATGGATGGATTTTCTCATCTCCGAATATAACAAGCAGTGTGATCTGTGCCTTAAACAAAAGAGCTCCTATGACTGCCGATTTTCTGAGTATCTGTGTTTCCTTGTCAGATCAGATTATCCTTTCATAGCGCATCTAGACAGCTATGTCTATCTGTTGGTACTACCTTTCAAAAAGGTATAGAAGGCCAACTTTGTAACTGCCTTTATGTGGCTCTGAAGGTTCAGGTCCATCTCAGGTCCGGAGGCATGGGTGGGCATAGATTGATTTTCCCGCCCCAAAATAAGCCGATGCCCCCCCTTTTGCAGAGCAAAACAGGACCGACCCCTCACCTAGACAATACAGCATGGCGAGCTTTGAGCCAAGACGTCCCCTCATCTACACCTGCTGCACTGAAGAACAAACAGTGCAGCAGGCGTACATATTAGGGCACTAATGTTTTATGTGCCCAGGCTGATGACGTGGGAAACACAAACGATGTAGCTGGCAGTGGCCGATGGTAGAGTGAGAGCTGTCCCCCTCAGATGCTGCAACTTCTGGACCCTGACATCCTCTTGCATCTGGACATCTCTTACATTACTAAATCAGAATACCGTAAAGTATTTTGTGTGTCTCCGGGGGGGGGGGGAAAAAGAAGGGTTCGGTGAATGCGCGTATGAAACTGGGGGGTTCGGTGCCTCAAAAAAGGTTAAGCATTAACTTGTCCATAATTTCACCAGGCTGATCTGTAATGCTAACATTCTTCTTTTTCAAATACATTGACATCACCATTCAAGAACAGAGCATTTGTCAGTTACTTCCCCACGAAAAATAGGGGTTTCTTTGGCATCATATTTAAGGGCCATGGTGAGCTGTGTGTGAGGTCTATTGTAGTGTCAAAAGCTTGAGCACATTTGCATTCTCTGCACTGGCTAGTTTTAAACATATACACATATCACAAAAGTGAGTGCACCCTTCACATTTCTGCAGATATTTAAGTATATATTTTCATGGGACAACACTGACAAAATGACACTTTGACACAATGAAAAGCAGTCTGTGTGCAGCTTTTATAACGGTGTAAATATATTCTTGTTTTCTTCCCTCAAAGTCTTCCAGTAACATAAACCAGGTGTATAATGAGCTCAGCACTCGCAGGCTGCCCCAGTTAGCAAACAGCTGGTGGAACTGAGTGGGGAAGGGGAGGTGCTCTGTGACACAGAACCTCAGTAGTTTGGAAACTGCAGCTTTAAGGAAGAGCTTTGTGGAAATAAGTGAAGCTTTGTGAGAGCAAGTGTTTAGGCTCCCCAAATGGTTGCCACAGGAGATTGAAGGGTTTGTCAAACATGCATGAAAGAATGAAATCAACACTCTGTTTTTACAAAGGAATAACATTATAAAATTATATAGGGTTCAAAAAAGGTCAATTTTACATAATCTTTTTTTTTTGAGGAGCCAGAGTTAAACAAATTAAAGTGTTTGTCAGTGACTTTCATTCTCATAAATGGTTCAGTGTCAGAGTCATTATTAAACACTATTTCTTGGTGCATATGGTATGGCATTGTGAAAGCTTGTCATTGCAAGTTTCAAACTGTAATGAGTTGTGCTAACAACATTCTCTTGCTGGATATTCTGTCTATAATCAGGTTTAACAGGTTCTAATACATACAGTAGTTTGAGCTGGTAATCTTTTCCATGTTCTTGTTCTAACTGGTAAGGAACATCTGATTTTATTAGGTTTTAAAACCTGTCATTAGAGCAAACTTAATGTATGATCATGGAGGTGATACTTTTGTTTTGCCTCCTAATCCAGGCTGTGGAGACACCGCCATTCCCTGTGAGCTCCAGTATGCTCTCCACCAATCCACAGCCAAGAATTCCCATACTTATCCATCTGAAAACCCCTTGTCAACTTCAGAACAAAGCATCTATCATTCTCCAACCCAGGATTCCCAACTCGACCCTTGTTGCCAGGATGTGGCCGAACAAAATGACCACTGTACAGTCTGACACATTCAGGAGCTGTGATGTTCAATCCAGTAGCCAGAGTCTGTCAAAGCAGCCAGCTCAACCTGATGATCCCAAAGGAACAATTAGCTCTGAAAACATTATTAATGTGCATCATTTCATCAAAGAGCAGAGTACAGCTGGCCCATCACTCGTAGAGCCACATCCTCCTTCTGAACAAACTCAAACTCAAAATAACAATCATGGACAAAAGACCAAAAAACCCAGAGATTCCCAGAGCCAGCAGCTAGACCAGCGGTCTGTAAAGAGGAAGAGAGGTATGCAGGGAGACAGTTTCCTTCAAGGGAGTTCCAGCTCTGGTCTAGAGCCAGTCGTGGCCCCAAGCTCCAAACCCTGGCCTGTTTTCACCATTGCCAACTCTGCAGTGGTACATGAAGCTCAACTACCTTCCAAGGTTGAAGGGTAACATACAAAACTATTCTTTTGCTGTATTTTGCACTTTTTTAATGTTAAGTCATCTTTACACAGCTTTCCTTTGCATGTGTGTCTATCAACAGTCCACCTGTGTGTCAGAAATCGAAAAGACTTCAGGCCCGGACCATTATCCAGCAGTGCAGCCAGGCGAGGGTTAAGGTCAGACCAGCGGTAGATGGTGCTGATGCTGATTGGGTCCAGGTGAGTGAGAGATTTTGTAATGGCTTCAGATATGCTTACCATATGTTGACATTTGATACACTGTTTTTATATTGGCATTGATGAACATTTATACATACACAACTCCATAGTTTTATGCATATTTTCCATTTCAGTACAAGAAGACAAAAACTTAATTACAATAAAATATCTAAAAATTAAAAGGAAGAGTCAATAACCTGATAAACATGTCATTGTCTAACATTAGCTACATATTGCTCTTCCTGAAATATTTTTTTTCAGGAAAAAAAAATATTTGTATAACATAAATTTTGCTGTAGAGAGCATAAACGATGTGTGAAAAAAATGCAACAGACTAAATTGGTTTTATTTTATTACATAAACTGCATTAATACCCAAACTCTTCACATCAGAACTCCTAAGCCGTAAAACATAAAAAAAAATCTATATATATTATGTATATATACATNGATATTTTGGGAAAAAAAAAACGTTCACATTTCACCCCTAAATTTTGTGTTTATATTGCATGGCTATTGTTTACCCGAATATAAAAAGCAGGAAAATATATTTTAGTCAATTACTTAAAAAAAAGCTGGAATGTGCATCACGAGTCCAACTAGTGAAAAATATTTTGGATATTTATTTCCTGCTTTTATTAAGAAATTAACGCTCAGTTTGTTTATTTTGACTCCCGTTAAGTCATGGTAATGATTTCGTATTTGTCCTGAACGTTGTTGTCCTGTTTCTGCGGCTCAGGTTGGTGCAAGTCGATGAAGAGAAAGTAAATCCCGGCTCCGACCGCTCCGCCCACCATGGGTCCGGCCACAGGGATCCACCACCAGCAGCCTCCAGCTCTGCACACAGGACACCATCATTAAGCTGACGCACCGTTCTGTAAACTTTATCATATGCAAAAAATAAGTCTATTAAACTAAACTAAACTCAGCATTCTGGGAAATAGTTCCCACTCCTGTCTTTTTCTTCTTTCAGTTTTTTAAGTGCTTGCCTAAAAACTCTAGTTTATTCAACTGTTGGAGGTTTGACTAAATTAATAAAAAAATTTATGCAACTTACTCCTACAAGTTTATCTTTCACAAAGTCACACATAGGTTCAAAATCTAAAACTCTCAAAATGTATTTGACTTAAAGCAGAAGCTAGGTGTGCTGTGGTGGCGCAGGGGTTAAGCTCAACCCACACAAGGAGGCCTTAGTCCTCAATGTGGCTGTCGCAGGTTTGATTCCTGGCCTTTCCTGCATGTCTTCCTCATTATCACTATCAAATAAAGGCCAATAAAACCTATAAAAAGCAGAAGATAAGTAGACACAACTAAATGTGGCTCAAATGTCTTACAGTGTAGAAGCTGAATGCTGCTTCTCCATGTCTGGTTCTGGTGATGCAGAACCAGGAGACCTGAGCGGTCTGGAAGGTTGACACAACAACGCAGATTTACGGAGCATGTTGGGTTTATCAGGATTTGCTGCGATTCTGATCAGTTTCTTAATCAGTCCTTTTCTTCTACTGTATTTTTCAGACTATAAGCCGCTACTTTTTCCCCACGCTTTGAACCATGCGGCTCACAGCCCGCTGCGGCTTTTCTGTGGATTTTTCTTCCACCACCAGGGGGCTCTTTAGCAGGAAGTGAATCATTGGAAGTCAAAAATTGGAAATCAAAGAAGAAAGTGCTCATTTTCATTTAGAACAAGCACATGCTAGCAGCAGGCACGACAGAGAAATTTCTTAAAACTCATAAGCCGCTCATCATGGAAACACGAAGAAGTTCATATGATGCAGCTTTTAAGTTGAAGGCTAAAGATCTGGCAGTACAGGAGGGACATAGAGCCGCTGCATGTAAGCTTGGCGTGAACGAAAACATGGTGTTGGAGACGCAGGGCTGCGTCCTTAATATCAGATTGAAAAACCGAGAGCGGCAGAGATACCAGCGGTTTATAGCCTGGTGCGCCTTATATATGTACTTTCCATTATTTTTTTATTGTTGTTTTTTTTTTTTTTTTACTTTGCGGGTGCGGCTTATAGTGAGGTGCGCTCTGGGAAATACGGTAATTCATCCAACACAATATAAAGTAAAAATCCACATTAAAAAAAACACATTGTATATTCAGTCTGGTGTAACCATGAATTTATCGTGGATTACAGAACAGTCCTCTGCTTGTTGGTGTGCCCTCTCTCTCAGTCCTTTTAAACTCGTTTACTGAGATTACAGAGTACGGCGAGTCAGTGTCATGGTGTGGGCCGTTAATGGAGGTAAACGGATCCATGGACAGAAGTAAACAGTCGTCTGAACAGACTGAGTCTCTCTGTCAGGAAGCTGGAGGCGGCAGACGTCTGGATTAGAGGCTTAAATCTACTGATCAGCTCAGGAGATGGACTCTCTGGGTCACAACCGCTTCCCGCTGAGCAAAGAAAAACAGAAATTATCATGGTAGGAGACTGGGATGTAATATTTTCATTATAGCTCGGTTTAATTTCATTGACACTTTTTGTTTCTAGTTTTTATGAGTTAAATATTGTTTAGTTTCAGCTTGGTTTTTATTAGATATATTAGAAATAAGTATTGTTTTTCTAAATCTGGTTAAATCTTAGGTGCAGTATTGTGAAGCATGCTTCGATTGTGCAATAGAAGATACAATTTTCAAAAAGCGTATTAAATTATTGTTGAACAAAAACTGACTGAAGTTTTCTCCAAACTTTTGCCATTTTGCAGAATCTTGCAGCGCCACCAGGAGGAGCATGAAGTAATGACGACATAAACTGCTTTTGTGAGTCAAAAAAAAATTTCACATCAGTTCAAAAAGCTAATAAAGAAATTCATAAACATTAAAACAAATAAGGTTTCAGTATTTTAACGTTAGTTTTATATACTCTATAGTATTTTTTGTTTTTATTTCTTTCAGTTAAAAATATTTCTAATTTTCCGTTTTGTTAGTTAACTGTAATAAACTTGGTAGGATGCTTTAAATGCACGAAATTCAAACATTTTACATCTGTAAGTCCATTTATAGCTGAAGAATCCACATCTGGAGCAACAACTCATTATATTTATATTTCAGTATCATTTTCAAACTAGATAATAAAAAAAAAAAAAAAAAGCTGCTTTCACACACCCTGAGATTAACTGAGCAGCCTTATTACTGCACCGCTCTGGACTTTCTAGACGTTTTTACCCCAGCAGCGTTTTGTTCTTCGTTTGACAACCATAGCAGTCACTCTGAATGGCTTTAAGCAGCGACATGCACAGACGCTTTCAGGGGCAGGGGTTAAAAAGATTGGTCCAGAGCGGGGTCAAGGATGACGGCCACCGAGGGCAAAGGCACAAACAGCATGAATCTACCAACCATCCAAGCACTGGGCCTGACGAGGCGGCCGCAGGAATGTGTCCATCACACCAGTTTGGCTTTGAAGTAAAACCTAAATCATCCTGCCTGGACTGACAATGTGTTCAGGGAAACTAAAACTAAAAAAAGAAAAACAACTCAGCAGTGAATTTAAAGCTGGAAAAACAGCACAGAATGTTAAAAAGCAATATTTCAGTATTTCAAAAACAAACTGAGGATCTCTGCACGGATTGTTTTTTTATTTGTGGTCACAGTTTGGACATTTTTCTGATACCAGATGTCTGCTGTAATGAACAGATCAGTTTATGTTCATTTCATGAATGTTCCTTTAAATAATAATTATTAAAATTTGGATAAATATGTTGAATGCATTGCATTAAGCTTAAGCTTGCTTTTTATGTTTGTGACCGTTAAGAGGCATCTAAAACAGAAACCTTTGCTTCTTAGCGCACCTTATATATCAAACCTCATCCCAGTCCTGGAAACATGCAGTATCTCTAAAATTCAGCTGTAACAAAATTACATTAGTGAGCTGTTTTTATTTTTCATTTTTAGCTTTTTAATATTTGAGTTGAGGACATAAGATGTTGCGTGCATCTTTGATGTTCAAGTCTAAGGAACATACAGTGGTTCTATTTTTGAAATAAACTTTTAAATATTTCATACTTATATGTGGGAGAAGCTGTTCCTTTTAAACATGTATCGTGTTTAAAATATTAATTCAGATTGGACAGGAACAGAAACGGTTCTCCTCTCCGTAGAGAAGGCAGACGACCAGATTTTCACCAGTTTCTATTAGTTTTGAGGCTTTTTCTCACTACTAAAGACTTAAATCACCTGAACACCTCCATGCCCCAGCCGGCCACAGCAGTGAAGAGCCGGGGGCCCAGATCTCGAGCCGGGTTTATGGGATAGCCGCAGTTCAGACCCATGGAGACGCCGATGGCCATGATGGTCAGGCCGATGCAGAGCGGCTCCATGCCCTTTGGGGCGCCGATGTTCTTCCTGTCAGTGATGGCCAGGATGCACAGGACCAGGGCTCCGGTGGCAATAACCTTCCAAAGCAGAAGAAACGTCGGATAATTATCCAAACATTGTTCTGAATATCAGGAAAGGAAAAAGACACTGAAGTTGTTTTGGGTCTTTTGATCGACCGGGGCGCCGGCGCAGGCTGTGGAGCAGGACGCTCCCCCATCCTGGCCTTTGGGTTTGTGTTAGCTGCTGAATTTGCTTCTTGAGAGGAAGTTTTTGAGTCCTCTCATCTGCTGCAATGACCTCTGACCTGTTTCTCTCTAAGCCTATTAGGGGGTCTCTATTCCTGTTTCACGCTGCGTGGGACAGCTTCAAGGGGCACAATCATGGATTTTCCTGCCACATAGTGCCATTTTGTGGCACAGTCAAGTAACTGTGTTACTTTAAGATGTTATAGAATCAAATTTGACTTAAAAGAAATTTGAGTTCCTGATTTGACGTCTTGAAATTAGGTCTCTGTCTCTTTAAAAACTCTCTGACACTCCGCCTTCAGGAAGTCATGGCTTCTTTATTAACCCTTTAACGACATTTTTAGCAGCGTTACTCTGAGAAGCAGCTCATTTAATGAGCAGATGCCCAGCTCCACCAGGTGTTTGCTAATTGCTGCTGGCTAGTCTGAAGGAGCTGAGTGGGAGAGGCGGAGCTAGGTCCACCCAGGCGTTTTGCACAGCTGAATGGTTGCCATGGAGATTAAAGGATATCTCAAACATGCGTGAAAGAATCAAATCAAAACTCCAGATATGTTTTGATGAGGGAGTAACTATATAACATGATATAAAGCTAAAATATATTTTACATAAAACTGCCCCTTTAACATTGTTCCCCAGTATGAATGTTTATATATTTGCTACACCAGCTGCATCAATTGTATGTTGTTAAATATAAAATCTGTTTAAAGCTAAAACTTCACATTTAATTTTTCTTTTATCCGTATAAATAACAATTTGCTGGATATTTTTTCCCTCACATGACACCAAATTTCAGAAGCTCCAACTCCAGAAAACATGTAAAAGATTAACATGTACTCATGTTATAAGGCATTTATAACATGAGTACAAAGGAAATTATTTTTGCATCTCACCTTAAGGAACCTTAATTCAAACAACTAAACTTACAGTTTAATGTTTTGATTGGAGACACTGAAATCTTTCTCAGGTTTGTGCCAAACCCAGTGTTTTAACTTTTAAATGATCTGATCTTCTGCAGGTTTTAAAATAATTTAAATATAATGTCAAGTGCACAAAACATCCTAAAAACATTTCTACATGATAAAACTGCCTCCAACCTGGTAAAGATGTGTAAAAAGCCTGCAGGTAAATATATCTATACTGCAGTAATATTGTCTTTACACTGAAGAATTCCCTTTAACTACATTTGTAACTTGGAGATTTTTTCTCCTCACTAATCATCATCCAAAGCCATCTACCAGAAAATATTAGTTTTTCTAATAGCTTGTAAATATTTTAACTTTCCAGCAGGACATCAAATCTGTCCATCATGGAGAGGGTCAGTTTTTAAATTAAATATTGAAATAAATTATTTTTATTATGAAGAACTGGAAACACCTGCAGGAGTTAAAATTACCAACAAATGTTGTATTTAAAAATAAAATAATAATAATAATAATAATAATAATAATAATAATAATAATAATAATAATAATAATAATAATAATAATAATAAGAGTTTTAAAGTTAGGATCAATCAAAAATATTTCACTGTGTAAATATGTCAAAACAAAACAAAAAGTTTTTAAGGTTTGCTCTCAATTTTTACCAGAAATTTTAAAGAATGGAAAGGCCACTTTAACTTGAACTCCAAAATCCTGTTTTGTCTTAGTTATTTCTCCTATTTTTATTGTTTAATTGGATCTTTTGGTATCTAGAAGCCAGTAAAACATATTTTTGATAAAATCTAGAACACTTTTCTTTAAAATAGCAGATTAATATAACTCGAGTTTGTCAGCTTATCCACTGTGTATAAATTATCCCACAAACTTAACAGCACATAGTTTGAGCTAAAGCCTAAATATTCACTTTAAACCTGTGTAATTCAAAAAACATTATCATAAATTTCTTTAAGCTATATATTTCTGAGACGGTTATGATCAGAAGTATAAATTTTGAACTTCACCTGGTCAACAAACCCGTTTAGCACCGACAGATGTTTTGCAGGATAGGATGCAAATATGTTGGCCGTTGCATTTTCACCAGTAACTGCAAGATCTCCACTGGTGTAGTCCATCAAAGCATCTGAGGAGAGGAAAATTATCCACCAGATGTAAAAAAAAAAAAAAAAAAAAAAAAAAGTAGATTTAAAATATGGGACATTCAAAGTTTCCCCCAGAAAACTGGCTAAGCCTGGCGGTTGGATGCTGGGACAGTTGTTCATCCAGCGGCCCGTCGTGTTTTTGAGTTAAAAAATGCTTAAAGTTGACAGGAAATTTGAAAATATCACCTGATAATTGTGTGTTATTAAAAGATTGGAATATTAACACCTAAACACCAATCATAAAGTCTTAAAAACGCAAACATTTAAACATTGTTTAGCCTGGTGGGGGCAGAAGTAAAGCCTGGTGGCCCGCCAGGCTTGTAATACACTGGGGGAAACCCTGGACATTCCTCTGCTCTTGGTTTTGCCACACTTTCTACATTTAATCTCACCGTAGTACAAGCCAAAGACGGCACAGGAACCGGCGAATGCTCCGAGGAACTGCGCCGCCACGTAGACGGGAAACTTCTTCAGAGGCAGCTTCCCCAGAATCACCATGGCCAAAGACACGGCCGGGTTCACATGGCCTCCTGAACAAATCAAAAACTTCAACATCTGAGAGAGACACAGCGAAAAATTAAAAGGTTTTAAAACTACTCAGATTTTTATACAACAAAGTCACAGAAAAACAGATTTTTGCTCATTTTAAGTGATTTTTCTACAGACTTTTTTGTATTTAAAAACTAAAGTCATGCTGCCACAATATTTTCTACTTTTACTGTCTTTAAATTTAACAAAAATACTTTTCCCAATTTGATGCACTTACAATCAGAGTTAGCAAGTAAGAGTAGCACTGCTTATACATACTGTTACTAAAGCAGAAGTAAAAAATAGAAATCTAAACTATTATTCTAAGTTGGAGTAAAAAAAGCTACTCAAGTACTGAGCAACTTGTCAAAACATAAATTATTTAATATCTAAAAATAACATTATCAGATGGAGCAAAAATATAAAATATGTGGAAATTTTAAAGCTCAATTGAAAGTAATTCATATAAATAACATAATTACAAAAAAAGGAAACATTTTTCAAGATGAAACTGCAGCAGTGTGTGTGTGTGTGTGTGTGTGTGTGTGTGTGTGTGTGTGTGTGTGTGCGTGTGCGCGTGCATTTGTTTGTAATACCTTGTGGGGACGATTTTCCTGACATATACTACGTTGTGAGGACCAATTGCTCCTCGTGGGGAACAGAGCCTGGTCCCCACGAGGGGAAACCCTGTTTCTGGGTCAGGGGTCAGAGTTAGGGCTAAGGTATGAATTGAGTTTTGGTTAGGGTTAGGGTCAGGTATGTGATGGTTAGGGTTAGGCAAAGGGTAAAGGTAAGGTTTAGGCTGTAGAAATGAATGGAAGTCAATGGAAAGTCCCCACAAAGATAGCAACACAAACATGTGTGTGTCTGTGTGTGTGTGTGTGTGTGTGTGTGTGTGTGCGTGTGTGTGCGTGTGTGTGTGTGTGTGTGTGTGTGTGTGTGTCTTGCTGGTTAAAATACGGTTGTTCATCATCCAGTGAAATTACGCTCTGGGTGGAGAAGCCAAGTAAAAGTAAACAGAGCAGCGCAAAAAATATATTCCTAAAAGTTAAATGTTTTAATGTAAATGTAGCTGTTTTCTATAAAATCTGCTTTAACTCTTGCATGCAGCACTGATGTACATAGTTTCTTCCCCCACCAGCTCTTCCATTTTAACATTCTCTTCGTTTTTGAACAACTGAGATTCAAGAAGTTTTGCAGATCAAGCCTCAGCGGGCTGCAGATTCATGCAGTCATCAGCAAACCTCCTCCATTCATCCAACGCTTTCCGACTCACTCTTCTGGGTTTCTGCTCCCTCAGATCTGTTTTCCCATATTTTGTCCTGAAGCGAAGTGTTGAGGACATTCCAGCCAATTGTTACCAAGTGTGGGGTCATTTATTTAACACTCTGGGATCTTGGCTTTGACCTCACTGGGGTAACACCGCTGGGGGGTATCAGCCATGCGCCCATTGTTAATCTCCCCATCCTGTTCACAAACACCAGCCACGACAAGCAGCCGGCCCGGCCTGCCCGAATTGCTTCTGACATAATCTGCCTGAATCTGCTTAAGGCACACGTAGACTGCGGGTCATTAGAGTGACCATGATGTGTCACACTTACCGTACACTGTCAGCTAAAATCTGCCGACTACAAAGTGTTACCAATTGTGTTTTCTTCTCCTATGGGGCCGCTCTGCCAGGGAAGCCCAGAGAGCCGGGCTTGTCACACCTGACCCCCCTCATCTCCGCAGACCCATGCCCCTGTAAAGCTCATTAGTCCAATACCTACGATCATCTTCAGAGATGTCGTTGGACAGAAGCTTCCCACCAAGCTGCGGACCAAATGGCCCAGTCATGCAGCAAAAGCTTTCCATATATTAACCTCTCTGTCCTCTGGCTTTTCTGCTATTCTTCTGAAGTCTCCAAGCTGCTCTTAATAGGGAGCCGACTGTTGAAAAATCACAACATTCGTCTTCAGCGTCGATTCATGGTTTAATCTTCTGTTAATCTGAAGATTTACTCCAAAGAGAGAAACATACACCGGCCGTGAAAGTCATAAATGATTCTGTAAAATACGGAACCGTCCTGAAAGTGGAGTGAAATTTTATTTTCTACTTGTTCAAGTAGATTTTCTTATTATCTTGATTTTTACCTCACAATAATCATTATTATTCTGATGATGTTGCACAGAATAACCAGGTGTACAGTGATCAGCTTTAGCTGTTCTGCTAATGATTTTTATACCACAGGACTGACATATATGGATTTACTGCACAGCTCTGGAAAAGAGCCCACTGCACTGAACCCCATTGAAAACCTCCTGGCTTCTCCACCAAATGTTGATTTCTGAACTCTTCCTGAGTTAAAACATTAGTATTGTTGTCTCTGAATGAACATGAACTTGTTTTCTTTGCATTATTTGAGGTCTGAAAGCACTGCATCTTTTTTAAAATTTATTTTAACCATTTATCATTTTCTGCAAATAAAAACTAAATCTTTGCTTGTAATTTAATTAACATGTCAGTAGTTCAGAGAATAAAAGAACAATGTTCATTTTACTGAAACATAAACCTATAAAAAGTTAAATCAGAGAAAAGTGTATAAAAGTCTGAATAGATTTAGAATGTTTAATATTGAAACTATATATATAATAAATTCTGAAAATGTATATAATTATAAATAAAATATTTATTTTTACCTAAAGTATAACAATTGACACCATTTTCAAACAGGTATAGTAATGCATGTATTTTTCTGTTTGTCTATATAAACTGTAAATCACAAAATACATTTTTTTTTCATACTTTCTGCCTTAACTATTTCAAAACATGACTTTGCGGTTTATTAAACTTCTGCTTCTTAGAATCCGTTGCGGCCATCTTGAACTTTTGTCTAACTCTTTATATTCTCACCACTTCCTCACTGACAGTCACTGCTTTACCTCTGAACCATGATGAGTGACGTACTATGGTTTATGTCATTAAAATTTTAAAATACTTAAAGTGAAGTCCATTGTTGTATCGTCCACATATGTTTAAAGAGTCGTTATGGAAGGTTGTCTGTCAGCAGTCAGTCCCACAACAAATCTGAAGAGGCCTCTGACTGAAGACTGTAGGTGAGGAAGTGTTAACAGGTCCCGTTTTGGGCAGCAGAGATGATTTTCCACAGAAACACCTTCTAGGTGACAACATCAGTTCTTGTCTGGCCGTATGACGGAGACATTAGAAATGATCTGAGCCCGTTACGACCGCAGGAAGTTCCTGCTTGAACAGGAAGTTCCTCCTTCTCTCTCTCTTTTCATTGGTCCTGCTCTACTGCATCCATGAAGCCTCCTCCTTCAGCTCCTCTGGGATTCGGGGTCGTAGTTGACATATTATTGGATCTTTTGCGAAGCTAATCAGATGCTCCAAGTTGTAAAAAAAAAAAAAACAAACAAAAAAAAAACGCCTTGTCGCTATGGTTACATCAGAAGTCCCAGCTTCACGGCTTCCCAAACCAGACAGAATAATTATCCAAACACGCAAAGCCTCAACCGAAAAAAAAAAGTACTGACAAAAGTTTACTACAGGAACAAATAAGAGCTAACATACTGGAAATACTCCAACTAATTTAAAAGAACGCCACATGTTTTTGCTGCTGTTGCAGAATATACAGCTTTAGTTGAGAAAATGTGACTGCTGACAAACCTGACAGATTTTGGTAAAAAAGGATTTTTATTTTTATTTTTCCGACATTTTTCTTCTGACTGGAAGTAGCAACATCATTTCGAAGCGGCTCAGACAGAATCCTGAGCGAAAAAGATTAGGATGATGGCGCGGAGACCTGCAGAAAAGCTGCTCAGCAATTACAAGCCTGGTGTCACAATTCCTCTTAGTTGATTTTTTGAGAAGTGTAAAATCATTTTATGACATCGAGTTTCTTTTTATATGTGTATAAATATAAATACACACAGACAGTTTCTTTTTACGTTTTATCATTTTTGAGAGACATTTTTATCTCACTGACGGAAATAAACTGTTTTGGTTTAATGGCAGCAACGTTAAACGTAAAGGAGTACAAATAATAATACAGTTATCTCTACGCAGCCATTAATAACAAATAAATTAAAGTGATTTAAAAAACATTGTTTTGTTTTGCTGGAGACATCCAGCAACCCGTCTGAATAAAGAATTAATATTTTTCTCGCCTCCGTTGTCTGTCTCAGGATTAAAATACTTTTTGCTGCTGCAGAGTTAATCCACGTTTCTGAACAGAAATTATACGAGTGTAAAAACCAAATTAGTCAAATTAAAATTAATTGAATAAATGTATTTGGGCAACTAAAACACCTCAATTCAAACAAATTGTTGCTTATTTTGATAACCTGCTTTGTTTCAATAAAGCAACAAAGGTGTCAACTTGGTAAAGGTTTATACTGAAATGAGATTATAATCAAAATGTAATTTTGGATTTACAAACTAAAATGCTTGATTAAATGTGTAATAATTTAATTTCTGACATTTAATAACCTCTGAAATGAGTTTTTGTAGTGTTCCAGTAGCAAAGGTACTTTGAGAATAATTAAACCTTTTTTAAAGCCAAAACACTGAAGCATTTCTTCTCATTACCAGAAAGTAAAAACTCAAAAACTGAAATGTTTGCAGGATCAGAAAAGGACATAATTAATTTGCACCACTATATTTTGTCCTGCCTCATATTTATACCTGATATGTGCTTATTTGGATCCTTAATCGCAAATTACTGCTTGAATTAAAACTGGGAATTGTAAAGTAATTTATTAAATGTCACAAACAAAACCTAGACTATCTTAATTATCTGCTATTTTTTTTTTTTTTTTTTACAAGAGTCCCATTTTTTCCCAATTATCAGGTTACATTATTTTGCCTGATTTTATCTCCATAAACTTGAGGATTTGTCACTTGCATCACTGCAGAAACTAACAGCCTGATTTATGTTTCCTAATCATATTGGAAGAAAATTTGACTTGGAAATAGTTGAGCTTTTGGAGGAAACTTTTAAAAAACATCAACAAACTTTTACATGTCAACGTCACACAGTTTTGGTTGAGAAAGTGGAAGAATTTTCATATTTTCTTTCTATGTTTTCCGCCAGTCAGGAATCAGAGTCGACCTGGAGAGAACCGGTCTGAATCGTCTCTTACCTGACACTCCCCCCGCCATGTAGACGGCCATCATGACTCCCAGGGTGAAACCGACGTGGATGGTGAGCGGCTCTCCCAGAGCCCCTTTACTCAGCACCGTCTGGGCCACTGAACCGCATCCAAAGAGCTGGGACACAGACAAGAACAAAAACACAAAGAGCGCAGCTAGAAAAGCCTCATTGTTTCTAATCATTCCAATTAAGCTCACCATTAACACTAGCCCTCTTGTCCACAAACAGCCTCTGACTGCCACAGACAATTTGTCCAAGCTGGAGCTCAAAACAATAATTAATCCCTCACTTATTAGGTAAAAGGCACAAGTAATTTAGAGGGGGAGGAGGAGGGGGGGGGGAGTGTTGAGGCAAAGCAGTCATCCACAAATAAAAAGGGTTGTTGTGGAAGATGCATCACCCCTCTGATGGGCCGTCCCAGACATTAAAGCAGACTTTTTTCTTCTCTTTGAGGTGGCAGCTGCAGCTCAGAGGGTTTCAGGTGGAGGCTGGGACTCTCTACTGGAAGATAACACAGTGCTGCTCTGCATATTACTTCAATAATTATCTACTTTTTACAACCTTGCAGCTACAAGAAACACATTATGTGTGGAGGGAAAAAGCCCTAAAATATCACATCAGTTCCACCTTCTCCTCAGAGAGCCTCCAATTATCTGCTAGCAGAGGCATTTGAGGGGCTGCGGTCAGTCCGCAGAGACTCTTATTAGCCGCTTTAAAGCGGCTGTTTAAGCTGGGTGACAGGTGCAGAGGGAGGGAGGAGAAACACTCACGATCAGGACAAAGATCCCCAGAAACTCCGCCAGGAACTCCTTCACGATGTCCCGCCTCAGGCCAAATTTCTCCTTCATCTTCCTCCTGCTCTCTTCTTCCATGCTTTGTTGTTGTCGGGCGTTATTTTCTGGGACTGTTTGATGCCTTCCTCCGATCACAACAAACAGCCAACAGCTCTGATGGAGGCAGAGCGGAGCTGAGAGCGCAGGCTGTCGCCTCCCACTGCCGGACGCGCTAAGCTCCCTGCTTCTGTTTCCCGGGACAGCCACAAGGGGTCCGCTTTAAAAAACATTATTATTATTATTATTATTATTATTATTACTACAGTAATAATGTCTGGATCAGCGCATTTCAGACCCAAACAAGACACATTCAAGTTCCTCTACTCAAGAAATATTAGCTTTACAATAAATAAGAAAAAGGAAACTAAATCTCAACTTAATTTGTCAGGTTTGTTTGTGCTTTTAGAGGCAAATAAGAATATTTATTACACTGTAAATAGGCTATTGCTAAAATAACTCACTTTATCTTTAAAGCATCTCTTCTAATTTATTTTACAGGGAAATTGATATTAAATGATCACAAGACATTTTTTACTGTAAAACAAATTACAGATGGTCTGTTTGAACAACTTTAAATGGTTTATGTTATAAAAATTAAAAGTCGTTTTAAGTCATGTAAAAATTAACATTTTACAGTAACCAAGAGTCAGCAACTCTAAACTATTTTTATTAGGACTAACTAAGCTTCAGATTTTTGAATTTTCCCAGCATGCATTGCAAATCTACCCTAACATGATGTGAACAGATGATATAACACAATACTGCTAATTATTGATAATAACATTTATTTCACAAACCACACAGTCATATTCTGCACATTGTCTGTACTGAATTCCTGTTTTAAAAACAGTAATTTACACTTAAAACAACAAACATTGTTTACAGTGTGAACAAACACATTTTTAGCTCTATAATGTTGTATGAGTCATTATAAACGTAATAAAAACCGTTTTGTTAAAAAAAATCTGTGGAGTACACACTGCTGTTTGGGTAAAGATAAACACTCGTTGCACTTAACTGAGTCATAATTATAAAATTAAAAGAAATAATTTTTATTTTTTTTCCATTATAATTTTATATTAAAAACCAGGAATATGACATGTTCTGATTCTGATTTTTTTTAGAAGTCCTAAGAATTAAAAACAAACAAAATAAACACATATAGGAAAAATGTTCACGAGAAAATAAATTAGGGGCAACTAAAAATGTTCAAACCTATAAAATACCCAGCAGTGTTTATGACACGGTTCACGTTTTTTTGGCTTTTCTCGTTACATGAACAAACACTCACGCAACATTTTAAGGCTTGGAAAATAAACAATTGGACTTTATTTCTGCGACTTTTACGGTTTTGAAATAATCAGCCACGCATCTTTTACCAATCCTTCAGAGGCACTCGAGCTTATCGACGTCCTTTTAATGCTCTGTCACAATTTATTTCTCATTTCTTTCCTCATGCAGCTGGAAGCCAACACAGATTCCTTCCACTCATCCCATTTGTCATTTCTCCACGTTTCTTCTTTATTTATTTATTTTTTGCTTGTCACCACCTCGGTGCCTCCTGCATTTTACAGCCATCAACTTGTGCAACGCGTGAAAAACTCGTTTCTTCCAACAGAGGGCGCTCGATGAATGCGTTTGAAGCGCTGCTCACACCTTCTGCTCCGGTATGTCTTATCTTCCGTTTGCTGGGCTCTGTGAAAAAAAAGAAAGAAAGAAAAGGTGAGGCGACAGGCGGAGGACGGGATGTTTTTGAATCCATTAATCAACGTCACGGCTGCAGGCATGTCCTCTTTGATGTGAAACAGACACTTTGGAGAGTGTCGCCCAGGCTGTGAAAAAGCACTGATGTGCTGATGGAGGAAAAGCACCCACTCCGGGGTTTGCAAATGATGGAGCTACATCTGTCTCCAAACGTCTTCTTTGTCCTGTCAAGAAGCTGAGCTTGCAAACCTTCATGTTGAGACTTTAATCCAACAGGAGAAGTAATATTTCCCCCTGCCCCCTTCATTTTTGTCTGATGATGTACATTTCAAAGACAAGTAAGATCTCCGTTAATCCTGAAACAGCTTCTGCTCCTGTTGAGCTGCAAAGGCATTTCTTTGGAAAGGAGGTAAAGCATTTGAACTTTATCTAAAACTTTAAAGTCAGACAGAGACAACCAGAACAATAATAATAAAAAAAATGTTGAGCTCATTCCTGAAGGAAAAAGCAACTTCCTCCATCCTCATGACATCAGAAATGAATTGTGAACAATCACATTGTTTAGAAGGCTGAGTTCAGTTGCCTGATTTCTACTGAATCACTGAAACTTAACCTGACTGGCAACATAAATGACCCTAAAACATCTGTTAAAATAACAGCTTCATCCCATTACAGAAAGTCTGAAGCCATTTCTAATGCTTCGGATCTCCCGTAATGCAACAGAAGATAGGAAACAGTGACGAACCAGTCGAACAAATTCTTACAAAAAAGAAAGACCAACATCTGAAAGTGCTGTAGGCCTCGGCTTCCTCAGATTCACAAATTGAAAACCCGCTTGGACTTGAAAGAATGCAATGACTCAAAACATTTTGATGACGATTTTGGGAAACATTCTGCCGGTTTGTGAGACAAAGGTGGCCATTTTGGTCCCACTACAGCCAACATTCAAACAACATGACGAACAGTCAAAAGTAGGGATGTTGGTGATGGTCGTGACTCGTTTCGCTGCTTAGAAGACTTGATTTAATGGATGAAACCACAAATCATGTTTGTTTTTTTTACCATAAAATCCAGCAGGAGAACGTCCAACCATCAGTCTGAGAGTTAGAGCTCACCAACAGGCCAACCTCTAAAAACCTCAAAAAAAAAAAAAAAAAAAAAAAAAGTCAAAGTCTGGACTCACATCTAGTAAAGACTCTGTAGAGTGTTAACTCTCTGGTGTTGGATTAAATTCATTCTGCAAAGCGGAGTGGGACAAACTGAAACACTCACTACACATCAAATTCTGCAGAGTTAAATCAACGCTGTGACCAATCTACTTGGTCCTTGTCAGAATTGGAGTTAATTTAAATATTTTCAGAGTTATTTCAACAAGAAATTGAGTAATTTTAACGCTTGAAAAAGTTATAACTACTCAAACTGTTGTTGAAATGACTCTGTAAGAGTTAAATTAATGCCAATTCTGAAAGGGACCAAATAGACTCGGCATAGTGTTGATCTAACTTTGCAGAATATGTTGTGTACCAGTCGTGAAATGGTTTGAAACCAGTTGCTGCCAGCAACTAAACCAGTTAGGAGGCAATCACAGCTTAACTCAGCGTTGGTGTAATAGCATACCCCAATAACTCTGCTCTTTTATTTACTTGGGTTAATTTGAGCTTGTATTGAAACCTATTTAAATCATATAAATGCGGAACAAGAAGAAAACCGCAAGCGGCCAAACACTGCGCCCAAGTGCAGCGATGTGCGGATGTTTATTGGGTGCTTTTGAAAGGAGACTCTGGGAGGAATTATCACCTGCAGGACAAATTTGTGCCCACAGCACCCCGGCGAGCTGCAGCAATCCCTGCAGTCCGCGATTTACATGACAGCGCCGGCCGTGGGGAGGTTGTGTTAGGCAAATCAGCCCACAGGGTGAGAGCGAGCTGAAAGGCAGGGTGACACTTTTATGTCACCTATGTAGGAAATTGTTAATGACGACCTTATTGGAGTGACTTTTACTTCTAAACTAAACCAAATATTAACACATAGAAGCCAGAAAACTTCATTTAAAAAATATTACGGCTCAGATCTGGGACCTATTTCCTTTTTTCTTTTCCCTGTGCAATTTAAAACAGCCGCAACCTTAATATGCGGAGTTATTATCAGCGCTCTGCGCACATATGAGATAATCAGTTCCAGACCTGTGTGATAACTCGCCGCAGGCTCTGTGAGCGTGATATTTGTGTATGTAAAACTATGAATAAGTATGTAAAAAAAAAAAAAAAAAACCTCCAACTGTTGCGGACTGAAAGCGACTGCGGAAAGTGAGTGTGAGGTGGGTTGGGTGCGTGTGTTCCTCCTCCTCAACACGCATGGCTTGAGGTCATTTATGTAAATGCTCGGATTTAATTTTCAAAAGGACGGCCCTTTCCCCCTTCTCTCCTCGCCCAATGAAAACGAACCGCAGCCGACACCTGGCTATAAACCCAGGAAGGAACCCGGAGCTCTAATCAGAAACCCGCTGGAAGGAGGAAACACCGGAGGAAGGCGCAGTGAGCAGGGAAGCAGGCAGGCAGGAAGACGAGCGGAGCGACCAGCCGCGATGACTTCGAGTAAGATCGAGATCCCCGGAGAGGTGAAGAGCGACCCGGCTGCTCTCATGGCATCCCTCCAGCTGATGCCCTCCCCGGTGCCCAACCCGGAGATCAAGCACACCAAGGTCTGTTCCCGTCCTCCCCGCGGACACGTTCGGCTGCGCTCTCAGCTCCGAGATCTGGACTTTCTCCAGAGTTTGCGCGGAGTTTTTTTTTCCACGGACAGGACGTCACAGCTTTATTATTTATTAATTACTATCTAAAGTCCCAACTGAGTGGAAACATCCTCCCTACGACGGAGGCGCACTTAATATTTCTAATTTCGCTCGCACACGCTCTCAATAAATTACACATTTAAGAAAAACACGTTTTACTTGCACTGCTGAGATTATGATAAAGTCTCGTAATTGATTTGCTTAAAGAGGCCGAATTAAATTGAAAGTATTTGATGAGGCAATAATAAAAAAAAAAAAGCGTGCGCTGAGTTTTAGACGCTGCTAAAAATTTACAACCAGTCACATGCTCTTCCTGTCATGTTGTTTCATTTTTTATTTCACCTGGATTGCAGACATTATTACATTATTTCACTTCGCTGCGGGAAACCAATTTATAAACTGCATTTTTTATGGGGCTATTAAAATTTTATAGAAAACAGCAAAAATTGGAACAAAAAGCCTCTCTGTTTCTCATTTAATTCTCATCATGAAGCTTTTATGGGTTTTTTTTTCTAGTCCCTCAATTTACATTATAATAGCTCACAGTGAAATTAGGCCTCAGTGGAATTGAGACAAATTCAAGCACATGCCAACGACTTACAGTATTTGCTTTTAGTCGAGTTTATAATGGCAAAACACCTGGAGTTCAAATCCAAGTAGTAGC